AGGAAGACTAAAGAGTCCACCCATTTGAATTCCCACATACAAGATGGCGGCCGGAAGGCAAAAATGACTCCACCCCCAACTCCACTCTGGGTGAGGAACAGAGTAATCTACCTGTTGGATTAGATCTCTGGATGATAAAAGGACAAATGATCATTACATGCCTCTGAGTCACACGACTGGGAAAGCAGGCCTTGGAGATAATCTCATTCTCTACCCTTTTGTTCAGGCACTTTCTAAAAAGCGATTGCCCTTTTATAAATTTTAAATTTGTTTTATTACACTCATGATGCAGAATTGGGTGTTCTGGGAAGTTTCAGGGGAGGTGACATCACTCTGTCCTTGCCCTAGCAACAGTGTAGTTCTACATTTGATGGAGGACTCAAGTTCTAACCCTACCTCTTTGAGACCCAGTTCAGGATCTTCTTGTTGTGGGAGGAAAGGCTCTTTTCCTTTTTTGCTGCCTCTTTCTAACAATTGCATACCTGATTTCTAAATTCTTCTGAACTGTTTAAGTCTCTTCACATGCCCATGGGTCAGACTTTTTGATAAGTTAGATGAAACCAGGAGTCACTGCAGCTTTAGTCATCCAGCAGTGGTTGCTGGAGGTGGCTACCCAGGGAAGGATCAGAGCCTGGGCTTTGGGAAGCCTGTACTTCCTTAGCAATCCCTGCCACCAATGCACAAGTGTACCAAAGTCATCCGAATTTGGGACCATGGTTGGGAACAACACTTATCCAGTGACCCGAGGAAAGGGCTACTTTTCTCATTTTCCAAACTGTTCCCTTCTGCTACTTTGGTAAAATCTACTAAAAATTAGTTGTTCAGAAAATAGAGGTTCAAAAGATGAACACAATACTAGCCTTGTCTTCCTTCCTTCCTTCCTTCCTTCCTTCCTTCCTTCCTTCCTTCCTTCCCTCCCTTACTCTGCTCCAATCCAAAACAAGTTCCCAAAGCTTATCTGCAGCTTTCCCACTACGCTAAGCTATTTTATAGGCTGGTAACAAATAGTTCACAGATGGGTCACACTATAGCAGCAGTCTCGGGTGGAGGAGGGGCTTAGGGCCCTCATAGCTATAAAATTCTGGGGTCCTGTCTGTGACTCTCTTCACAATGTATTTATTAGCTTGAAGGGTAACAAGGGTACATGGACTCCTGTACCAGACATGAACAGGGCTAGAACTCACCCTAACTTTCTTTCCCTTGGCTTTATGCTCAGTTATGATTAGCTGGGGTTTTTTATTTGCTTGTTTGTTTGTTTTAAAACCCAAAAGATTTGGGATCTGATTTTAAGCACAGTGCTTTTCTTACTCAGAGCACACACACCCCATCCTTCCCATCACCCTCCAACAAGCTAGGCAGACCCTCTGGGCTGTCTGTCACTCAGTTTCTGCCCCCTGCATCTGGGTTGGGTGTGGCTCACCCTCAGCCACTCTCCAAAGTAATCAGTTTGAGCCACTTGGAGTGACAGTCTTGACCAAGGAACTGTTCCGGGAAAGCAGAAGGTTGGAATTTGAAATTGGGCATTATGCATGCAAGAAGATGAAGTATAATGGCTTGTTTCCCTCACAAACAAATACATTTGCTTATGATTTTGATTTTCTAAATACTCGGAAAAGCACATCACAAAGTACTTTAGCCTTGATGCTCCTTTTTAAAATCCCTAATAACAACTTCATGTGTTCCACACAAACAGACCGCGTAATTTATTCAAGAAAATTAAAACCAGTAATCTAGTATTTTGTGTAAAGATTCCCCCCTTCTTGTGCTTCAAAAACATTTTTTTAAAAGAAGAAGAAAATTTGCATACGAAAACAAAGCCTTTAAAATGAATGACTGCTCCAGAAAAATCAAGCTATGAAAAGCCCACAGAAGTGGCCATTTTTTGTTTTTGTCCCTTAACTGATAAAAAATAAAGCAATTCAGGGCATCTTCAGGGTTGGACAAGAAAGAAAACGTTCTTTTGCCCAGGAGAACACAGACATTTCCTTGGCGTCATCATCTACAGTAACTTAATCTATAAATCTCAGCGAGAAATGTTGAAAGCAGTCACATTTCATAAGCTGTGCTGAGTTTGAGACATCTACATAGCAACAGCCTCGCGATGGGAAAACACGAAGGCTTTTTATATTGGTAATCATCTGTAACATGAGCAATTAAGTACAGTACTAATGGACTATGGCCAGGAGCCTGGTACTAATATTAAAAACTGACAGAGATGAATAGGTTTAGAAGCAAAACCAGGCTGACAAAGACATTTTTATGAAGTGCTTGGACCTATTTGATTTAAACCAATCAGAGACAAGTTTGGACGAGTAGGGCCCTCAGCAACAGCAAGGCATTCACAGCCATTGTACAGTCTCTGCCTATGCTTTAAATAAAAACACGCATTGATTCATTTCCACAGCCTGCACTTTTATTATTGCACTCATTAATAAACCCAAAGTGCCCAACTAATAATATACAAGTAACATTTAATGAGGAACTGGTGAGTTGGTTTTTTTTTTTTCCTTGTAGTAAAACAAAAACACTTACTGGAATCATGAACCACACTGCATAAAAAATACATCAATAGATAATGTGATGTAGATCACTTGTTCCTCTATCATTTTCTAGAAAAGCAAAATGGGGTGGGGAGTGGGGAAACCACAACTCTGTGTTAGAAGGAAAAGAGTAACAAGCCATAGGGAAGCTGCTGCAGAGATGGCTCAGCAAGTATGCGAGCTGAGTCTGAAATCCAGCACTCACAATAAAGCCAGGAGCAGCAGAGTACTAATGACCTCAACACCGTGGATGAGCGACAGTCAGATCCTTGGAACTGGCTGGCTAGCCAGCTGAGCCAGCAGGGTGAAGAGACCCTGTCTCTCAGAATAAGGTAGGGGCCAGTGAGATAGCTCAGCAGGTAAAGGTATAACTTTCTATCAACCCTGATGACCTGTATTCAAATCCCAAAAGTTGTCCTCTGATCTACACACACACACACACACACACACACACACACACACACACACACACACTTCCATCATTCTCTCCCTTCCAATTCTTATCTACTTTCGCCCATATGATGCCTTGTAAAATTCACTTAATTATGCGCTCATTTTTCAAGAAGGTAAGCTAGCTACGGTCATGTGACTCCTTTTATTTGTCATTGGATTCTTTTAAGATGAATGGTTCAGGCGCTGGGAACTTTTGAAGCAGAGAAAAAGTGTATTTTTATGTTTCTAATGCCATGATTTGATTAGAGGCTCCTAAACCAAAGATAAGTAGGTTATGGTAGCCTGTAGCACTGTGGGCAGAGCCCTTGCCTGTGGAGGCTTTGTGCTGGGGATCAACTGCCCAGTACAGTGGGTAACAAGAATGTGTGGGCTTTGGTGTTAAGTACTGAGAGAAATCACAGTCACATTTATATAAAAAACAGTGCTACCAAGAGTGGTAATTTGAACATCTATTATTGATGTTTAAGAATCCTTCTGGATTACAACAGGGCCAAGGCAATCTCTTGGGAATACTCCCGGGGAAATTTTCATGAGGTACTAAACCCAACTCAATTTATTCCTATTATTCTAGAACAGGCATTCTAACTTTTGTTAACTGGCCACTTGGTGGAATGAGATACAATAAACACAGCCCTGAACTTGAAGGAAATGTGGTGAACACCTACTGTGTGAAGGGATTATGAAGGATGCTGTATGTGACCCACAGTGGGTGTTATGGATGTATGGTCAAGATGGCTTGGTAATGGACTGTGAGAAAAATAATCAGCAAGTTGATTATCAGCACTTTAACTGTTTACCAACATGTTAACTGTCTTAATTAGCTAACTTGGTGTATCTTGACTTTAGTGTATGCAATAGATATGATTAAAGAACATGCATAATCTCCATCTGGCCTCTACATAAGCATATATGGATGTATATGCATGCATAAACAAACACACACTACACACACACACACACACACACACACACACACACACACACACCACACACACCACACACACACCTCTAGTTGAACTCTCCAGCTCTGGATTTGAAGCCAGGGTGCTTCATTAGGCAGACACACTCTTTCTCATATCCTTACATCAGGGTATTTTTTATCACAGCCTCGGGAAAGGAAACCAAGAGCAATAGAGGAAGAATTCTGAGTTGATCTCTGCTTTCACACCAAATATACACATGTGTGCGCATTTCTTCACACATGTGGAAGTATACACACATTAGCTACCCCCTTCCCACTTCCATAGGCAGTACCTAAGGAAGCTGGTACAACCTAAACACTAAGTATGGGCTTGAAGGATGAAGTAAATATCATTCATGAATTTTGCTGCTATTTCTCAGCATTGTAGGTACACTATCCTTATTGCAAAGTGTGTGTGGGGGGCACACTACAGGGGACATATAGGACACAACTCCTATCCACAGAGTCTTCCCCAGAGGCTCTGCTGTATTCTTCCTTGGTTATATCATCAGTACTTTTCTGAAACAGGCAGCAATTATTAGAAAACCAAGCCATGCAGAATTCAGCTCAAAATATCCTTGACTGAAAGAAAGCATGTCTATAAGTAAAAGAAAATTATAACAGGCAGTTCGGAGGAATGTCTACTTGCCAGTGTTCTCTCACACGTTAATCTCGTGATAACATTTCCCATCTTTGTTTTCTAGAAACCCAAAGATCTCACGGTAAATGAGATTCCTGAGAACATCCCTAGCAATCCACACTTGCTGGGGGAAGGGCATTGCCAGACAGGTGGCCACAAGGCAAAACCTAAGTAAAGGCACAGCTAATTTTGGTCTGGGTAACTAGAGAACAAGCTATGTAAAGGAGAAGGCCCGGGGTGAGGGTGCGGGGAGGTACTTTCTGTCTTCCCAAAGGTCCTTTAGATTTCCTCTATCTTGTCTTTGTCCAGAGTTGTTTTCTAATTAACCCAGTTTTAATTAAGCTAGGTTTTTTTTTTTGTTTTTGTTTTTTTGTTTTTTTTTTTTTTCCGGGAGATGGCTTCTTACCTTTCGTAGTGTCTTCGAGTACAGGTGGCCGCACTGGTGCTCCCCGGATTACCACCTAACTCGTCATAAATATGTTTCCATTGACGGCGGGCTGTTATCTGAAAAGATGGCAATGAGAGATTCAATCTATCATTGTGGGAGAGCCGCAGGCAGCACCAGGCTCATATATATGCAACATTCAGGAGAGAACAGACTGCTCCGGACAACCAGAAACAGGGGCCCCAGTGAGTTTCAGGGGGAGACAATTGCTTTCAAACAAGATCTCTCATTTAGCAATAACAACAACAACAAAATGGCGTCCGACTTTTGGTGCTGTTTGCTTTCTAACTTCATCTAAGGTACTCCGCCTCCCTCAGCTACTCATACAGCTCTTTGCCCCCAAGGTCCCAAACACACACCCTATTCCTTTATGCTATGTGATACAATACAAAATAAAGTCACATTTCAACTGAACTGTATGCTCGTTCACCAGCTTAACCAAATCACGACTGACACTGCCTGAAGCTGGTGGAGGTGGGTGGCCAGCCACACTACTTTAAAGAAAGTGTTTTTTTCAACAAAGGTGTTTACACATCTTCTGATTTTTTGAGCCATACAATGTGCTTCCTGCTTTTAAACAAATACACACACACACACACACCAGTAAAATGACCATATAGATTAATAAAAGTGATCAAACTTGTAGAAGGAATTACAGTCATCTCTGCTTTCTCCCATCAGTAAAACAAAGTCTGAATCTGGAGGTGCACCTATGAAATCTGTTTTTATTCAGATAGAGCAGGAAAATGACATATTAACGGAATCCCATGGAAATGAAAATATTCCCATGCTAAAATGTTCACTGTGTACATTACTGTGTTGGGAGAGTAAAAACAGCACAGGAAGCCATATCCTGCCCTAAACAGCATGGTCTCCTTTTATTCTGATTAAGTTTTACTTTTGTACATAGATTAAGGTATTTTGAAATAACAGACACAAGATCTGGCCATTGGTTATTGGGGGGCGGGGGCGTCACGCAGCTTGCCTACCACACCTAAAGCATGTCTAGTGTTCCTCTGATCGTAGGAGGGCAGGACAAATTCTGACGTTCATGGGGACATCTCTAAACAGGATTTAGGGAAGATGCTGTTATTGGATTCGTGGAGGATAGGGTGTTGGGATGGTTCCTAACTGAATGCGAAGCATGAGTCCAGACAAGCACAATGGTCAGTCGACTGAGCAGGCTGCACCCCAGTGCAAGAAGCAATCTGGATACACGTAACAACCTCACTCTGAGGGCTGAGAATCACTTCTTTCTCAGTGTAGGTACAACTTGAAGGTCTGCTGAAAAGAATGTCATCACCCATTCTATTCAGCAGGCATTCATGACCTTCAAGTGTGGGTTTCCGAAGCAACCTTTAGAACCCAGGAACCATTTTAGAGGTGTACCAAAATGAGTTCTCCATGTGGCCATTCGTCTGAGAAAACATGGCTAATAAGTGGAAAGGAACCTATCCCTTACTCATTTGTATTGATGAAAGTATCCTGCTCCTTCAAAAAGATTCGGGGAGGGAGTACAGAGACAGCTCAGTCAGTGACATAGTTGCTCATAAGCATGAGGACCCAAGTTCCTTCTCTAGAACTTCCATGGACAACGCCATGGATGGTAGGCAGTTCATGCTTGTAACTCCAGCACTGGGGAGGTGGAGATGGGTGGATCTGGGGGTGGGAAGCTCACTGGCCAGCCAGTCTAACCTACTTGGTAATACCAAGACCAATGAGAGACAATGTCTCAGAAACAAAACAATCACCACAAGACTCCACCTCCCACCTCCAAACAAAAAAACAAACAAACAAAAAAACAGCCTGTCATCTGGACATGATATGGATGATATGGCCATTGCATTCACTCATGAGCTCGAAGCAGCTCTGGTTCCTGAACAAGACCTACACAGGATGAAACCAACACGCTGAGTCAACATTCCGGGAGAGGCTTATTGGACTCAATGAGCTACAAAACAAAATCCACTACCAACTAAACAAAGCAAACAAAAAACAAAACAAAAAGAAACAAAATAAAACACAAAAGAAGACATGAAGTAGAGACTGTTACACAATTGGAGGTGCCTGCAGGAAGAGGAAGTGGGGAGCTGGGAGTGGGTACATTAAGTATATTATTTACATGCATTACATTGTGAAAGTAAATCTGAGATATTCTTATTGGAAAAAAGGGGGGAGGGCACCTGAGGAACGACACCTAAAGTATTTCACACACACACACACACACACACACACACACACACACACACACACACACACACACACACACTTACTTTTAGGGTAGCCATTTTTTAAAGCACAAATCATCTTTGGAGCCTTCCATCCCTTGAAGTCACAAGGATGAAATCATGTTGGCAACTGGGGGTCTCGTGAAGAAGACAGAATCAGAAGCTATTTTGGACTTAAGTGACTTAAGCATGGCAAGTCAATACAAAGTCAAAGGGTGCCTATGCTAGCACCTAGCCTTGCTCAGGCTTCCCGAGAAGCAGAGCTTTGTCTGGACACCTTGAGGGCAGGCTGAATTCAAGGAGGATGACTTTTTTATTCCTGGTAGTACTCCAGGAACTGAAGCCATTCAAAACGGCATGACATCATCATTGGCCTGGACAACTCTGAAATAAAGCCGAAGGCTTTGTATGTCCAGAGTACTGGGCTTAGAGTCAGGGGATGGCTTTAGATTGATGTCAGAGCCAGAATCTGATGTCAAAGCATAATCTGGCAGGAAGACAAGTGACTTCTCCTGGATGACAACGTCACGGTGCTGCCTTATTGGTGGGAAGAGATGGGGCTGGGGAGCGCTACTCTGCTAGTACCATCTTCTCTTCTGGGGTAACATTCCCTCAACACCCATTGCGATAATACCACTGTCTCTCCGAATAGGGCTCTGGGCTTTCTGTCAGGTGGTCAACCTTGGTGAAATCATCTTAATGAACTCTAGTTGATAAATTGCCTCACATTTCAAATATTTCTCCGGTAGTAACTGTTCCCCCAGACACACAGGAAGGACCCTTGCTCAGACACAAAGCTCTATCTTTTTCTGCCTCTTACTGGCAGATCTATGGTCTGATATATCTGGAAGGGAACTGAGGGTAGAAGTCTGCGAAGAGTGAGCCATTGCTAGCAGCCAATCAAAGCACTTGGGATGCAGTATTTTAGAGAATCAGATATGTTAGGCACATTCTGATCTCTAAACCTAAACATAGAGAGGGACAAGATATTTCCAGTAAAGGCAGAAAAGGCTGAGAGAATTGTGCAGTCATCAGTCAACACTACAGACTTAAAATGAAACCCCTGCTCCACTTTAAAAAAAAAAAATTCAATTGGAGGATTGTGAAGAACTAAAATGAAATAATCCATAATCCAAAATTCAAACCAGAAGCTTTGGAATAGTTTGAAGCCACAAACAAAAACAAGCCAATTAAGATGGTCTTGTTCACAAGTCAGAACCAGAGAGCTGGCTTCAGCCAGATACACAGTAACGCATCTACAGACTTTATGCTTGAGGTGTCCTGGTCCTAAGTATTTACATTATCTAGATTTTTTTTTAACCTTTCTCCTGAATTCTTACATTTTTTTCCCTTCCAGAACCAGACAGAATCTCAGGTTGTGACTGGTTTGTTACTAGGAAACATTAGTATTTGGACATATATATGGGGTAATAACTTGACAGGGCTAGGTACGTAGCTTAGTGATACAATATTTGCCTGCATTCATGAGCCATGACTTCAGACAAACAAACAAGAAACTAGCCTGAAGACCAATTTCTAATCTTTGATATCTGAGTTTGATAGAAGACATAGTTGAAGCCAAATGCTATTGGGAACAGCACCTGGTATGGGCTGAAAGATGATGTCAACAAAAGCAAGCCCATGAGATGGATTCTTTTCACCCCAAGTCACTCCTAATATGAAGAAAATATTCTAGATATCTGAGAAACTGCCAGGATTGGAAGACACAAGAGACAGCAATTTACTCTAACGCCTATTGTTAGAGAAGCAGAGCTAACTCTACTGGAAATTGCCAGCAAGCAAGACTATGAAGAATACCATGATAGGGATTTCCAGCAAGCCAGAATCTGAAGAATATGATGGGACTACCAGCCAGCTAAGACCACCATGATGGCCTCACAGGACTCCTCTTACCTCCCTGTGCCTTAGTTTCCTTGTTTGTGTAACTGAGGACATAAACTGAAACAGAGCAAGGAAGGATCATTTTCCATGCAAATGTCAAGTCAGGGGAAAAAAATTAATCTGTCAAGGTGCTATGATTTCCTTCACTCAAAGTGGAAATGGCTCTACACCTCATTCAGAGTTACAGGAACTTTTTCCCAGAATGAAAAGAAAATACTTATCAGAAACTCTGTGCTGTTCTTGAGGGGAGGGGAGGCTAACATTCTAGAATGTTCTAGACTGCAAAACTAAATCCTCCCTGAACATCTAAGTTTCATCAATCAAAATACTCCAAGGGCCTGGGGTGGGGTGGGATACATTATGTATCTAGGAGTGTCAAAAAGCTTAGATGTAGGATGGTAGAAACAAAGTTAGGTGCCAACAGG